AAAACATCCAACTTGGGAAGTCTGGTTCTGCGAGAAATCCACATGTGACCTGCTTTTTTCATAGAGATCCAGGTGCACACACAGCGGTTGGTAAGTGGAGGCAACTCATCTTGGAAAAAATCCTTCTGTGGTTCCAGTTGACCAGCTATTTCAGGATGGCTGGCTCAACCCTGCAGCAATCAGATATGGCAATAGGCCATCACCCAGAAACGTGGATGATTTGTGTCAAGATTGATATTTCCGCCACGTCAGATTCCCAGAGCGTCCATTGTTGGTTTGAACTCTCCTTTGTTGGTGAAGAAGCCATGGTTTTTCCAACTTCAATTGCCACAGGGTGAGTCCCCTGGAATTATATAGTTGATTGTTGAGGTTTGTTCCCCATCATCTGATGGTTTTGGCAGCAACACAATTATATAAAAAAGTATAACTGGATAAGTCTGCATTGCCTTACCACCATTCTGTTGCCAGGCTTCATCAGGTCATTTGTGGCCCTCTATCAGTTTTCAGTCATATATAACCACATAAAAATGGAATGGTCATCCCATTTATACCCAGAAGAAGAACTTCAGTTTTAAGTGATAATCAATGGGAATTTCAGGATCCTAAAATGGAGGTACGTTAGTACCATATGTTTGGCCATATTCTGTGGTGATATTCACTTACATAGGCCTAAAAAATAGGCCTTTTATCACCACATTCTGGAACGGTCATCCCGTAGCCATGGAACGGCCGAGGAAAAGTGGGTCGCTTCCTGGCGGAGGGGGAGACGTTTCTGCGGATGCGGCCGCGGAGCGTCTTCTTGCGCCGGAGCCGCTTCGAAGAGGAGGTCCACCGGAGAGCGGGGACGGAGTTGGAAGTCTGTAGGTAATGAGAAATCAATGAGAGTCGTACATTAAGTACATCTTCAGGAGTATAGTAAAACCTACCTATTGTAGTAAATATCATGTAAATATAGGAGTAGACATCTTCATCCCCCTAGTTTTTTTATTTTTCCCGAGAGCGTCTGAGCGCAGGGTTCTTCCAATAGTGGGGGTCTGTATCTTATCTTCTCATCTTCACATCTTCTCATCTTCACATCTGTATCTCATCTTCTCATCTTCACATCTGCTCATCTTCACATCTGCTCATCTTCACATCTGCTCATCTTCACCTCTGCTCATCTTCACATCTGCTCATCTTCATTCACACCTTCTTTCACATCTTCTCATCTTCACATCTTCTCATCTTCACACATCTTCATCTTCACATCTCTTCTCATCTTCACATCTGCTCATCTTCACATCTGCTCATCTTCACATCTGCTCATCTTCACATCTGCTCATCTTCACACCTTCTCTCACATCTTCTCATCTTCACACCTTCTCTCACATCTTCTCTCACATCTTCTCATCTTCACATCTGCTCATCTTCACATCTTCTCTCACATCTCTCTCACATCTTCTCTCACATCTGCTCATCTTCACATCTTCTCTCACATCTTCTCTTACATATTCTCTCACATCTTCTCTCACATCTTCTCTCACATCTGCTCATCTTCACATCTTCTCTCACATCTGCTCTCACATCTGCTCATCTTCACATCTTCTCTCACATCTGCTCATCTTCACATCTGCTCCTCTTCACATCTTCTCTCACATCTGCTCATCTTCACATCTGCTCATCTTCACACCCTCTCTCACATCTGCTCATCTTCACATCTGCTCATCTTCACATCTGCTCATCTTCACATCTTCTCTCACATCTCTCTCCTTTTTCTCTCTCTCGCCTTCTTTTTATCTTTCTCTCTTAAGGCCGAGGGTGGTGCCGGCGGCGAGTCACGAAACGTCAACCCTTTCGCACGAAATGAGGGTCGATCGGCAAAAACTGAGGTAAATTGCGATTTTACTTGCCCCGGAGCAACCCTTTCGCACGAAATGAGGGTCGATCGGCCAAAACTGAGGTAAAATTGCGATTTGACTTGCCCCGGAGCAACCCTTTCGCACGAAATGAGGGTCGATCGGCAAAAACTGAGGTAAAATTGCGATTTTACTTGTCCTGGAGCAACCCTTTCGCACGAAATGAAGGTCGATCGGCAAAAACTGAGGTAAAATTGCGATTTGACTTGTCCTGGAGCAACCCTTTCGCACGAAATGAGGGTCGATCGGCAAAAACTGAAGTAAAATTGCGATTTGACTTGTCCTGGAGCAACCCTTTCGCACGAAATGAGGGTCGATCGGCAAAAACTGAGGTAAAAGTGCAATTTTACTTGTGCCGTTCTTGTCTGTGTGTAAAAGCGCCTGTGTGTAAAAAGCGTCTGTGTGTAAAAGTCTCTGTGTGTAAAAGCGTCTGTGTGTCAAAGCGTCTGTGTGTGTCAAAGTGTCTGTGTGTAAAAGCGTCTGTGTGTAAAAGTGTTTGTGTGTAAAAGTCTCTGTGTGTAAAAGCGTCTGTGTGTCAAAGCGTCTGTGTGTCAAAGTGTCTGTGTGTAAAAGCGTCTGTGTGTAAAAGCGTCTGTGTGTAAAAGTGTTTGTGTTCAAGTGTCTCTGTGTAAAAGCCTCTGTGTGTAAATGTGTTTGTGTGTGAAAGCGTTTGCGTGTAAAAAGCGTCTGTGTGTAGAGGTTGTCTGTGTGTAAAAGCGTCTGTGTGTCAAAGCGTTTGTGTGTAAAAGCGTCTGTGTGTAAAAGTGTTTGTATGTAAAAGCTTCTGTGTGTAAAAGTGTTTGTGTCAAAGTGTTTGTGTCAAAGTGTTTGTGTAAAAGCCTCTGTGTGTACATGTGTTTGTGTGTGACAGCGTCTGTGTGTAAAAAGCGTCTGTGTGTAAAAAGCGTCTGTGTGTAAAAGCGTCTGTGTGTCAAAGGGTTTGTGTGTAAAAGCGTCTGTGCGTAAAAGTGTTTGTATGTAAAAGCTTCTGTGTGTAAAAGTGTTTGTGTTACAGTGTTTGTGTACAAAGCCTCTGTGTGTAAAAGCTTTTTGTTTAAAAGCGTCTGTGTGTAAAAAGCGTCTGTTTGTAAAAGTGTTTGCGATGCAAACTACTGTCTTGCACTTCTCACTGTCCTGTCTTGATACTCCTCTTCTCGACTGCCTATAACAGAGCTTTCATATATCGTTTCTAATATTGCGTCTCCATACTAACAAGAGAAGACCCTGCTCCCCCCTGAACTGGCCGAGCAAACATGACTGTAAGCATTTCCAGAGCTTCTTTTGGTGGCCGTGGTGCTCGTCTTTGGAGATTTTGGAGGCCTGCTGCATGTTGCCGTGTGGCAGTCATTCGATGTTTTGCAGCTAGCTTTTGGTAAAACCGCATGATTTTGCGAGTTTCAACTGCAAGCTTGTGTTCCGTTTGTTTGGTGAAAGCATGAAGCTGGTCGGCGCAGCTATTGGTTCGAGATTTGTATCGCGGTTGGCGTCTATAAGTTGTCACTCTGGGTTCGCTGCAACCGGATATGTCCGAGAAGGTCCGAGAGTTGCAACAAGGCTTGACAGAGGGAGGAGTTGATCCCTTCCGGCGCCAGGTGCGCAAACTTGGGATCAATGCATTGACGGCTTTAGCTTCTGAGCTGGGGATGTCACTGTGTGGCATTCATTCGATGTTTTGCACCGCATGATTTTGCGCCAGGTGCGCAAACTTGGGATCAATGCATTGAAGGCTTTAGTTTCTGAGCTGGGGATGTCAGTGTGTGGGAGTCGTTCGATGTTTTGCAGCTAGCTTTTGGTAACGCCGCATGATTTTGCGCCAGGTGCGCAAACTTGGGATCAATGCATTGAAGGCTTTAGTTTCTGAGCTGGGGATGTCAGTGTGTGGCAGTCATTCGATGTTTTGCAGCTAGCTTTTGGTCACACCGCATGATTTTGCGCCAGGTGCGCAAACTTGGGATCAATGCATTGAAGCCTTTAGCTTCTGAGCTGGGGATGTCAGTGTGTGGCAGTCATTCGATGGTTTGCAGCTAGCTGTTTGGTAAAACCGCATGATTTTGCGCCGGGTGCGCAAACTTGGGATCAATGCATTGAAGGCTTTAGCTTCTGAGCTGGGGATGTCAGTGTGTGGTAGTCATTCGATGTTTTGCAGCTAGCTTGTGGTGAAACCGCATGATATTGCGCCAGGTGGCAAACTTGGGATCAATGCATTGAAGGCTTTAGCTTCTGAGCTGAGGATGTCAGTGTGTGGCAGTCATTCGATGGTTTGCAGCTAGCTTTTGGTAAAACCGCATGATATTGCGCCAGGTGGACATACTTGGGATCAATGCATTGAAGGCTTTAGCTTCTGAGCTGGGGATGTCAGTGTGTGGCAGTCATTCGATGTTTTGCAGCTAGCTTTTGGTAAAACTGCATGATTTTGCGCCAGCTGCGCAAACTTGGGATCAATGCATTGAAGGCTTTAGCTTGTGAGCTGGGGATGTCAGTGTGTGGCAGTCATTCGATGTTTTGCACCTAGCTTTTCGTAAAACTGCATGATTTTGCGCCAGGTGCGCAAACTTGGGATCAATGCATTGAAGGCTTTGGCCTCTGAGCTGGGGATGTCAGTGTGTGGCAGTCATTCGATGTTTTGCACCTAGCTTTTCATAAAACTGCATGATTTTTGCGAGTTTCAACTGCAAGCTTGTGTTCCGTTTGTTTGTCAAAGCATGAAGTAGGTCGGCGCAGCTTTTGGTCCGAGCTTCGTATCGTGCTTGGCCTCTATGAGTTGTTACTCTGGGTTCGCTTCAACCGGAAATGTCCGAGAAGCTCCGAGAGTTGCAACAAGCTACGACAGAGGGAGGAGTTGATCTCTTCCGGCGCCAGGTGCGCAAACTTGGGATCAATGCATTGAAGGCTTTAGCTTCTGAGCTCGGGATGTCAGTGTGTGGCAGTCATTCAATGTTTTGCAGCTAGCTTTTGGTAAAACCGCTTGATTTTGCGAGTTTGAACTGCAAGCTTGTGTTCTGTTTGTTTGTCAAAGCATGAAGCTGGTTGGCGCAGCTTTTGGTTCGAGATTCGTATCGCGCTTTGCCTGTATACGTTGTTACTTTGGGTTCGCGTCAACCGGAAATGTCCGAGAAGCTCCGAGAGTTGCAACAAGGCTTGACAGAGGGAGGAGTTGATCTCTTCCGGCGCCAGGTGCGCAAACTAGGCATCAATGCATTGAAGGCTTTAGCTTCTGAGCTGGAGCTGTCCGTGGAGGGGAGTCGCTTGAAGGAAGAGTTCGCAAGCCGGGTTTGTGCAAAGATCGAAGTGCAAGAATCTGTTACACGGTTGCGCTGTGTCGTGCAAAGTGGTGGCACAAAGGGACTTTGGACGCAGCTCAAGGCGCTGAAGGTTGAAGATCTTCGTGTCATTGCACAAGAGATTGGCTTGCCGTCAAGTGGAGTCAGGGACGCAGTGATGAAAAGGCTGTTCGACGACATATCTGCACAGGAAGCTGGCACCACTGGTAGACCATTGCCGTCCAGTTCGTCTCGCCGCCCGGAATTGCCCGAGGCGGGGAATGATGAGCAGCCGCCGCGGCGGGGTTGCATCACAGAAGGTGTTAGTGTGGATTTAGTGGGAGCAGTCGTGTGGATAGGTGTTTTACTTTCGTGTGGTCTTGGCACGGACTGGTATAGGGATATAAGTATAGATTGTTGTGCAGATACTTGGTTATTGAACTTCTCTGTGTCTGTTGGCAAAGTTCGTTTCATGAGTTATGTTATGTTACTTCAAGAGCCCGCGTGCACCACAATTTCAGAGCCTATGCGGTGGCAGGAGCGTGGAGATGCGGGCGGCAATATTTCGGCACAGGTGGAAGAGCTTCGTATGGACGCCAGCAGCAAAGGACGCACGTGGCTGCAAGAGAAGATTGCGAGCATGACACAGGGTGTCTTGCAGAAGGTTGCAGCAGCTGTTGTTGTGTCGACACGTCGACAAGATGGTTCAAAGGTGGCACTGGCTGAGCTGCGTAATGCCCTCGTGGAGCATTTTGCACCGCAGGCGAGTCTGTTGGGGGGAGATGTTTGGTTTCGTGAAGAGTTCGTTTCAGTTCTTAACAGTTTCTTTGGGTAGCATCACAGAATCTGTTAGGGGGGTGGTTTGACAGTTCTTTGCAGAGGAATCTGGCACCTAACATTTCTTGTGGTCTTGGCACGGACTGGTATAGGGATATAAGTATAGATTGTTGTGCAGATACTTGGTTATTGAACTTCTCTGTGTCTGTTGGCAAAGTTCGTTTCATGAGTTATGTTATGTTACTTCAAGAGCCCGCGTGCACCACAATTTCAGAGCCTATGCGGTGGCAGGAGCGTGGAGATGCGGGCGGCAATATTTCGGCACAGGTGGCAGAGCTTCGTATGGACGCCAGCAGCAAAGGACGCATGTGGCTGCAAGAGAAGATGGCGAGCATGACACGGGATGACCTGCGGAAGGTTGCAGCAGCTGTTGTTGTGTCGACACGTCGACAAGATGGTTCAAAGGTGGCACTGGCTGAGCTGCGTAATGCCCTCGTGGAGCATTTTGCATCGCAGGCGAGTCTGTTGGGGGGAGATGTTTGGTTTCGTGAAGAGTTCGTTTCAGTTCTTAACAGTTTCTTTGGGTAGCATCACAGAATCTGTTTGGGGGGTGGTTTGACAGTTCTTTGCAGAGGAATCTGGCACCTAACATTTCTTGTGGTCTTGGCACGAAGTGTTATTGAGATATAAGTATAGATTGTTGTGCAGATACTTGGTTATTGATGAGTTTTGTGTCTGTTGGCAAAGTTCGTTTCATGAGTTATGTTACTTCAAGAGTCCGCGTGCACCACAATTCACAGCCTATGTGGTGGCAGGAGCGTGGAGATGTGGGCGGCAGTATTTCGGCACAGGTGGCAGAGCTTCGTATGGACGCCAGCAGCAAAGGACGCATGTGGCTGCAAGAGAAGATGGCGAGCATGACACGGGATGACCTGCGGAAGGTTGCAGCAGCTTCTGATGTGTCGACGCGTCGACAAGATGGTTCAAAGGTGGCACTGGCTGAGCTGCGTAATGCCCTCGTGGAGCATTTTGCACCGCAGGCGAGTCTGTTGGGGGGAGATGTTTGGTTTGGTGAGGAGTGCGTTTCAGTTGTTAACAGTTTCTGCAGGGTAGCATCACAGAATCTGTTTGGGGGGTGGTTTGACAGTTCTTTGCAGAGGAATCTGGCACCTAACATTTCTTGTGGTCTTGGCACGAAGTGTTATTGAGATATAAGTATAGATTGTTGTGCAGATACTTGGTTATTGATGAGTTTTGTGTCTGTTGGCAAAGTTCGTTTCATGAGTTATGTTACTTCAAGAGTCCGCGTGCACCACAATTCACAGCCTATGCGGTGGCAGGAGCGTGGAGATGTGGGCGGCAGTATTTCGGCACAGGTGGCAGAGCTTCGTATGGACGCCAGCAGCAAAGGACGCATGTGGCTGCAAGAGAAGATGGCGAGCATGACGCGGGATGACCTGCGGAAGGTTGCAGCAGCTTCTGATGTGTCGACACGTCGACAAGATGGTTCAAAGGTGGCACTGGCTGAGCTGCGTAATGCCCTCGTGGAGCATTTTGCATCGCAGGCGAGTCTGTTGGGGGGAGATGTTTGGTTTCGTGAAGAGTTCGTTTCAGTTCTTAACAGTTTCTTTGGGTAGCATCACAGAATCTGTTTGGGGGGTGGTTTGACAGTTCTTTGCAGAGGAATCTGGCACCTAACATTTCTCGTGGTCTTGGCACGGAGTGTTATAGGGATATAAGTATAGATTGTTGTGCAGAGACTTGGTTATTGATGTGTTTTGTGTCTGTTGGCAAAGTTCGTTTCATGAGTTATGTTACTTCAAGAGCTCGCGTGCATCACAATTTCAGAGCCTATGCGGTGGCAGGAACGTGGAGATGTGGGCGGCGGTATTTCGGCACAGGTGGCAGAGCTTCGTATGGACGCCAGCAGCAAAGGACGCACGTGGCTGCAAGAGAAGATGACGAGCATGACGCAGGATGACCTGCAGAAGGTTGCAGCAGCTTCTGATGTGTCGACAGGTCGACAAGATGGTTCAAAGGTGCCACTGGCTGAGCTGCGTAATGCCCTCGTGGAGCATGTTGCACCGCAGGCGAGTCTGTTGGGGGGAGATGTTTGGTTTTGTGAGGAGTTCGTTTCAGTTGTTAACAGTTTCTTTGGGTAGCATCACATAATGTGTTTTTTGGGGATGCTCTGACAGTTTTCTGGACAGGAATCTGGCACCTAACGTTTCTTGTGGTCTTGGCACGGAGTGTTATAGGGATATAAGTATAGATTGTTGTGCAGAGACTTGGTTATTGATGAGTTTTGTGTCTGTTGGCAAAGTTCGTTTCATGAGTTATGTTACTTCAAGAGCTCGCGTGCATCACAATTTCAGAGCCTATGCGGTGGCAGGAACGTGGAGATGTGGGCGGCGGTATTTCGGCACAGGTTGAAGAGCTTCGTATGGACGCCAGCAGCAAAGGACGCACGTGGCTGCAAGAGAAGATGACGAGCATGACGCAGGATGACCTGCAGAAGGTTGCAGCAGCTTCTGATGTGTCGACACGTCGACAAGATGGTTCAAAGGTGCCACTGGCTGAGCTGCGTAATGCCCTCGTGGAGCATTTTGCACCGCAGGCGAGTCTGTTGGGGGGAAGGTGTTTGGTTTTGTGAGGAGTTCGTTTCAGTTGTTAACAGTTTCTGCAGGGTAGCATCACAGAAGGTGTTAGTGTGGATGCAGTGGGAGCAGTTGTGTGGATAGTCGTGTTTGGGGAATGCTCTGATAGTTCTCTGCACAGAGGATTTTGCTCGCGGCAGGATGATGATGTGCATGCATTGAAAGCTAGACTAGAGCAGCTTCGTATGGATGGCCGTCGGGAAGGCGTGAAGTGGCTTCGAAAAGTTGTTGGTGAGATGGAAGAGCATGCGCTGCGGTCCCTGAGCGCAGCGGCTGGCTTGGGGCTTGTCGATGGCAGCGGAAAGTCACTTCCTGGCGCCAAAGTTCGGGCATCGTTGGTGAAGTATCTGGCTCCTGAGGCGGGGGATTGAGGATGAGAGATGGAATGTTTTTGTTGTTTTGGTGGAATGCTGAGAGACTGAGTGTTGTCGAAAAGGATGTTAGCAATGCATTTCGACATCCTGACATTTTCAGAGCTTGAGAAAATTTGCAACTTCACCAACTAGTTATGTCAAAACAAGCACAGCTTTGGTTCTGATTGTCGGTCAGGAGAGAAAGGATGATCGGAACGATATCGGTGCAAGACTTTGGTGTTGGGTGTCGCAATGCTGCGAGAGCGACGCAGCACTTGGCACGGAATTGTTGATGCAAACAGTGGCGTCGAAGGAGCACAGGACAAGGCTACTGTCGATTTTGTCCGGCAAATCATTGTCCACTGTTGAAGGATTGCATTTGAGTGACGAGCACTTATGCTCACGTGTTGTGGATGCCACGTTGCCTGTGCTGGCTGCCATCGAAGATGCCAGGTCACGCATGCCGGTTGCACCGCCCAAGGACTTGCTGGATGTGCCTGGAATTTTTACTTGCCTCGGAACAGAGAACCTTTCGCGGCACCAGAGCATTGCATTGTTAACGTGTTTGCTAAGCTGCCGGGACATCGTGTCGATGCAGAAATTAGGTTGGAGCGTTGGGATGCGATGGGTGGGATCCGAAGTTTGAAAATCATCTGACAGAGTAAGAGAATTGTATTTTGCTTCCAGCAGATAGATATACCCTGTTGCAGGTGCTTGGAGTCGCCTTGTGGATTTTCCACGTGAACACGATGTTTATGATGTCGCTGCACGCCTTTGGGATGTACACATGTTGAGATCGGACTGTGAATGGCAACCTGGCAGTGGCTACGAAGATCGCGCCGATGTTGTGGAGGCTTTGGGGTTAGGGGAGATGATTGGTGAGATGTAGAAAGAATGGTTGGATGGAGCTGTTCGTAGTTGAGTGATTTGCATCTGTAGGTGTGATCTTTAGGTATAAGCATGTGCCAATCAGATTTTGAATGGAGTTGCCGCATTGCTGTGGAGGCTGTCCTTGATATTTTATGGGGACGCACAGCTCTGGTCGTGGAAGAGGATGGCGAACTACAGCAGCGACGAGGCAAGTTGGATGAGGCGGACGCTATGGTTCTGCGCTGCTTGATGCGCAGGTATGGCTGGGAGAGGCGGGACCCAGAAGTGCCAACCTGCTCGTGGATGGAATGTTTCAAGGCTTCCATCTACAACAAGAGCAAATGCGTAGAGTTCGCCTGGTTTTTGGTTCTGGAATTACTGCACACGAGGAGTTCTCCGGCTTTGGAAGGACTGCGCAGCCATCACAATCCAACGGTGGTGCGACACTTGCGTGAGTCCAGGACCGTCGTGAAACTCAGAATCCACACCCATATGAGAATATTCAAGACATTTCGGTGTTCAATTGATTTGCTTGTCAGTGGTGATGTTTGTGGAAAATGTGAAACAAAGTGTCGCATAACTGCATAACTGAATGTATTGGACATTGAGTCTTGCACGTAGGAACGGCGTGTCTCCAGTGGTATTGCAGCTTCATGATGACATCGTGGAATGGCAACGCGATAGCAATTGCATGCGGTTGCCGAGCATGGAGGAGCAGCGAACGCTTTCCCAGAGGATTCAAAACTACTTGGAGAAAGACAAGAAAGTTAGAGTCGATTCCATGAGGCAAGCTTTTCCTTCTGATGTGGTTTCAGTGCAAGCATTGCAGTTGGACTGCTTGGAGTTGTCGGATGACATGGAAGGTGGAGTGAAATGGCGATCGGAGATTGAACGCAGCTTGATGTACTCCATCCCTGGTTGGCACGAAGGCTATGCGCCACAGCCGTCATTTGTGCCATTGACGGACTTGCTTTGTTTTGAGGAAGAATCCTCGTCTCCGTCATTGCTGGAGGATGTTTTCTTGGTTATGGAAAATGTGAACATGCCTTTTGCCATCAAGTTGCAACGCGTGGCTGCCATGTTGGATTGCACGCCGACTATCAGCGGCATTGGGGAAGCTTTGGCTCGCCGTCTCCTCTATTATAGCAGTGATGATGTTGAAGAACCTCTGGATCGGTATGTTTGCCGCCTGTGCCACTTCAGCGCCGACAACCAGAAGGCCTTTCATGAGCATCTTGTGGAGAAGCATCGTGGAGCAGGGGATGAGAGTCGAGTGTTGATCGAATACCGCAAGAAAGTCATTGGCTTGCTTGAGCACATGGGTCCTGATGTTTCTTGGTTGAAAGTACGTATTTGTTTAAGTTGCTGTGATCGGGTGCCACGCGTTTTGAAGAATGTCTATTGGAAACAGAACTGTCTGAGTAATGCATCGTAAATTGTTGTGATCTTGTAGATGTTGTTGCGGTTGTTATGGGCTGATGTGGGATGAGTTTACTGAGGTGCCTTCCTTCAGCACGCAGCGCCGAATCATTGAAAATGCTGATGAGAGATTGCGGCAGCCCCAGCCGGGTGGCCGTGAAGAGTCCGCTTGCGTGGTGTGTGCTCGGCGGTTTTGGAAGGATGAGTTGAAGCTGCTGTTTCTCTTTGAAGACCCGACTGGACGGGAGGAGAGAAGTGCGACTGTGATTGATGCTATTCCTGGGAATCAGCAGGAACGTCTTTGTCGCTTGTTGGGAGTCGAGCGGTACAAGAGACGTTGGCCGCACATCGATGAGGATGAGCTTCGGAGGTCAGCAGTGGAACACCCATACCTTGCAGGGCAATTTTTGCTCTTGCATAAGCGGCGCATGCCGGCCGATGTGAAGGAAGCTTCTCTTGTTTGCAAGGAATGCAAAGGCCCTCTCACTGCATCGACAATCACGCTGCCGAGGCTCAGTTTAGCAAATGATCTATGGATGGGGGCGCAGCCACCAGCCCTGCGCAACTTGGCTTCGGCGACAAAGCGGCTTCTTCCAATGACTCGGGCATGCATGCAAGTGGTGGTTCTTCAGCCTGCCCACTTACAACGTGAGGAACGTCAGCATGGCTTCATTGGCAACACAATCTTTTTGCCGCAAGCACGGCCGTCAGCAGTGCTGTCAATCCTGCCACCAAAGGAGGTCGACATGCAGGACACATTGTTGTTCGTGCTGGTAGGCGGACAGAAGAGTCAGGTGCGTGGCTCTACATTGCTCAAAGCTCCAAGAGACGAGTACACGGCGGCAGTGGAGTGCTTGCGAAGGACGAGCCCTTTTTACGCAGCCGTCGAAGTGCGCCCCGATGGAGAAGATGTTTTGGATGGATGCGTGCTCGAGACCGCTGAAGATTCAGCTCTGGCACAAGAGCTGTTGCAGAAAGGGCCTGCTGATGCCCAGGGGCAAGAGTCTGAAGTGGAGGGGGAGGACGCACAGAAGGAGGCCACTGGAGAAGAAGCAGTAGATCGAGATGATGCTTCAGGCAGGGGAAGTGGATGGTGAAAGTTTTACTCCTGAAAGTATTTTGCAGATGTGTGATGATGTTTGTATTTTTTCTGGTTGCTTGTCTGGTTGATTATGTGCTTGCAGCGGAGGCCATTTGGTGTCTTGCATCGTCGGTTTGAATGATGCGGCTGATGAGAAAAACAAATGGGTTCGCGTCTTGAAAGATGTGGAGGAAGTGTGTGTGCGGCAAAGGGGTCAACGGCAGAGTTCAGCAGCCGCTGTTATGCGAAATCGAGCGAACAATGAGCTTGGGGCGGCAGAGGCATCTGAGACTCAATTGCTTGGCCGTGAAGGTGTGCAAGAGCATCAAACCTTGCACAAGATCCGGCGTATTCAGAAGGTCGCCCGTGGAACTGCTGAGAGTGATCGACAAGCTGAAGCTGCCATGTTCCAGGTCAAACCGTCCAAGCTTGTGGTGCCGACCCAGGATGGTGTGGCAGGGGAGGGAAGAAGAGAAGGAAATTAGATATGGAAGCAAGAACAAAGAGAGAGAGAGAGAGAGGTAGATAGACAGACAGACAGACAGAGAGAGAGAGAGAGGGAGAGAGCGAGAAAGAGAGAGGGACAGACAGACAGAGAGAGAGAGAGGGAAAGCAAAGTTTTATATTGCAATTTCTTTCGTTTTGCCACCAGGATGACCCTTTGTCAATGTTCGAAGCAGCAACATGGGCAATGTCGTTTCCTGATCTATTTCCTTGGGGAGATGGTCTACCTTTCTTGAAACGAGAAACAAGTTTGGATGCTTCGGAACTCTTTCGATATCTGCTTCTTCGGGAAGAACTGGAGTATGATGAGCCGGCGCCATTACCTCGTTGGTCTCTATCAGCTCCTTGGAGTTTCTTTGTGTTTTGGAGACAGGCATCCTTTTCAACATTACCAGTTTGAGCATACTTATGGAATGCCCAGTTTCAACTATAGTTAGTGCACGCGTGACTGAACGGCCCGTCTTAACCGGAACTGTCCGAAAGGCGGGTACTGTTCAGGAATGTGTGTAGAACATGGTAGTTGTGTCTGTGACCGTATCTAACCAAGGACACTTTGCTGCCAGTCATGTATGATGTTCATCGACGTCTTCACTTGATGCGAGTAACAAAAGCGCATGTGATGCGCCGAGGTTTTGGCAAGCATTGTCGAGTCATTTCAGAAGTGAGCACGGAGCAGCTCTTGCAGGCAATGGCCCTGCACGGCGACAACTCCGACCTGCGAGAGCTCCTCCGAGACCCACAGATCGATGTGTCCTTGAAGCGTGCTCTAGGTGGTGTTCTGCAAGCGACCTCGAGCATTATCGGCATGGAAGGGCACCGAAGTCAGATCAGGTTGAGAGGTCACGCCGCAGGGTGGCACTATGGGTCTGCCCATTTGTTCGTCACCCCGAACCTCGCAGACATCCGCTCCCCGCTTCTCCTACAGCTACATCTGCAGAGCACAGTTGGCACTGTGGACGAGTGCGAGGTGGCCTTAGACTGGGATGTCGACGTGCCTTCAATGCCTACTGCAGCAGCAATGCGACGGATTGTTGCCATGGACCCTGTCTCCCAAGCGCGCTGCTTTGCGCTCATGATGGACATCTTCTTTGAGGAGATTTTGGGCATTTTGCCACCGTTGAAGCGTGAGAGCTATCGAGCAGGGATGCATGCAACGTTTGAAGATGGTGTTGCTAGCTCGTTGCAGGGTGGTGTTTTTGGAGATGTTGCATCTTTGAGTGGGCCGTTGGAGACGCAAGGGCGTGGTTCTCTGCACCCACACATTTTGGTCGTTTTGCTGGGGCATGATTTGGGCAATCGTTTGCGAAGTATCATGCATCGCATCCGCCACGGTGAGCTTGTCGTTGAATTGAGACGCTGGAGCCAACGAGTCCTGGAGGCCGTTCAACGCTTCAAGTATGATTCTCAATTGGTTCTTGCAGAGCAATTGGGAACTTCACAGCCGCCACTTCCTTTCAACGAGCGTCAGCGTGCAGAATGTGGTCGGCAGTATGAGACGTGTGCGTTGATGCCCACAGAGCCAGACGGTCACGAACTGGCCGCAGGCTCGCGCCTGACTTTGACAGGCTGCTACGCATCTTTGAGGCCAAGCTATCAAAGACGACAGCAGCATGCAATTGGTGACGGTGAGATCTGGAAACGCAAATTTTGCGAAGATTACCGTCGTTTGGTGATCCAAAATCACTTTCACAAGTGCACAAAGTCCTGTTTCAAGAAGAGTCTCAAAGCAATAGTACTTTTGTTCTTTCATTTGTTTTGATGTGTTGTGTTGTTGTGATGTGGTAGCTGGTTGGTGATGACTTTGCTTCTTTTTTTGCTTGCATGTCTGAGCTTTGTCATGGCTAAGGAAAGCTGTCAAAGGCAAGCGTGGCTGTCGCTTTGGATGTTTTCACATTGAGTTAATCCAGGATGATGAAGGGAAGCAGAAAAACTTGTGCCGCAAAGGTTGGCCGCGAGTGGAGAAGGCTTGCTTTTCCAGGTTGCAATATGAAACGCAAGGTTTGGCAAAGCTGGAGGAGTTCAAGAATGAGAATCCGCATGTTTTTCAGGCACAGCGAGATCATCCTTTTGAAGGCATGTCAAATCCCGTGGCACAGGTGGTTATGCGTTGCAATGTAGATGTGAAATACCTTGGCCGAGCTTTCGCTGAAGATGACCTGACGAAGTTCTCTGGTGGTGGCATGTGCTCAGACTCAAACACTCCATTGTCTGCTGCTGTTTCTTCGAGCATGGAAGTGCACAGTCCAGGTGCTATGCGTCCTGATGCGTCACAGCCTGTGGCCGGTGTCTTGCAACCGGAACTGTCCGAGCAGGAACCGTGCAACATGGATGTCACGCAACAGGACGATGCTTTGGATGACACTGTCCATGGGGATGAGAAGCGCAGAAAGATGTCCAAGTCAAAGTCTACATTGCTGGATGTTCAGAAGACGAACAACATGAGAATGGCACTTGAACGGGTGCTGATCGATATGTCGCGTGACATGCAAGATGTTGGTTTCTACACTGGCGAATACGCTGCGAAGAAGTTTGAAATTTCCAGGAGCATGCTTCCAGAGCTCTATGCAGGCCGGGGCTGTTGTCGCGTTTCTGTGTTGGTTGAAATGTTTGAAATGTTTGGAAATGTGTTGTGTTTGTTAGACAGCTTATTTTGCGACTGGAAGAGTTGAAGCTAGTGGGCAGGAGTGCAGAGATTGGAGGAGGAAGAAAAACAGCGGCAGGAAGCTGCTTTGGAAGATGGGAGCAGGGAGGCTGCAGATGCGAAGAAAAATCCGGGCATGAGTTCCCAGCAGAGCCGAGCGCTGAGCATTTTGCGTCGATTGGCTTTTGGCATGAACCGTTGTGTGGCCAAGTCCAACGGTGAGATGGCATATCAGTTGCTGTATGAACAGGAGCAGTATGTAACTTATCGGGGCTACAACATGTTCTTTCGATATGTTCCTTTTGCAATCATGCGGTGCAGAGAAGAAGCAATTGCAGGAGCGATCGCTGATGCACCGCACCTCAGCGCGGCTCCAGTGGACTTTGTGACCGACACGGACGACGCGCCTGTTGCTTTGGATGAAATAGCTGAGGTTATGGAGGATGAAGGTGAAGCACCTCGGGTGAAGCAAGTTGTTGTGCAGTTCAATCAGAAGGATGACTACCTGCATCGTGGTTCCTCAGTTTTGCTGCGGTGCATGTCGTTGGTGATGTACTCAAGATTTGTCCGCAGGGTGCCGCGAGCCAAAGCTGGTAAAGTTGATGGTGTGAAGTTTTTTGCTTTCGACGAACACTACCCGCATCATGCATCATCTGTGCAGGATTCTTGGGTTGAAAGAAGTGTTGCCGAATGTTTTAATTTCACTTTTGGTTCTGTGTTTTGTTTCTGTGCTTTTTCGAAAAAGAAATGTTTCTCAGCTGCAGTTGCAGGAGGTGAGAGCTACTGATGACAACGTGGTTGTGCCTTCTGATTTGCATCTGCCACAGGACGCAGAGGTGCAGAAGTATGCCGCTCATATGCTTGGACTTTGTTTTCCTTTTCCAACTTGCAGTGGTGATTGCAGCGACTCGTACAAATGCTTTTCCTGTCATAGCATCGAGAAGAATGAGAAGGAATGCATGATTTTTGGTCGTTTTGCGCCGCAGTGGAGACATTGGAAAGCTTGCATGGTGTTGCGTCGTGAAGCGGCACAAGAGCGCATGTTGGCAGGCTTGTCGATGCCGGTGATTCGAGATGTGATTACAGTCCGCAGGTACGTGCCTCGCATGGAAAGCAGTGGAGCAACTGTTCCTTTGGAGTTTCTGAAATTTGTCCTGGACAAGAAGTTGCGCCCTCGCGACTGCCGGATGCATGATGTTGTTCGCATTGTGGAACGCATTGCTTGGTGCTTGGGCGTTGCCTTGAACTATCATTACACTCAGCTGTCTCCTCTGGAATTCCTTTGCATTGTCCAGACTACTTGGTTGGAGCGTTTCGAGCAACACCATGCTGCGCGCCGGATCAGCAGCAGTCGTCGTCGAGCTGAACGCTTTGCTTTGATGACAAAGGTGGAAGATGACGACCTGGAGGATGATGCTGCGCCTCCGGACATTGAGGGGGACGAAGTGGAGGATGACTTGCGGCAGCAGGACGAGTTGGAACGCATGGAGCGAGCACAGTACACTTTGGACAAAGATGCTTTGCAGGAAGCATTGTTTCGAGAGCAGGATTGGATGCGGGTCTTGGGGAATCCTCGTGCTACGGTGCTGAAAGATACTCTCCGTCATTTGCGTGACTTTGTCAATGCTTTGGGAGGAGTACCAGATGCAAGGACTGGGATGGGCATTCGAAGTTCTGGTTCCTCTGGGGTTGAACGCACGTGGACGTCGGCGGATGCTGAAAGAGGCATGACTTTGCAGAAGCAGTACTTGGAATTCTGCGCCGGAGGCCAGGGAAAAAATATTTGTTAGCCCATGATGTTTTTTTTGGAAAATGTGAATTACCCGTACAACACACTGACACGTATACACATCCACACGTGACGCGCACACACACACAAACATATACACACACACACTTACACACGCACATGTGATACACATACACATATATGTGACAGACACGCACATACACAGAGACACATGTGACACACACACACATGTGATAGACACATGTGCACATGTGACAGACACACACGCACATGTGATACACATACACATACATGTGACACACACACATAGACAGAGATCCATATGACACACGCACATACATGTGATAGACACACGCGCGTATGTGACAGACTCACATGCACATGTGACACACAAACACACGCACACACGCACACCCATGTGATCCAGATGTGACACTGCAAGTAGACACGTCGTGTTTTAAAGTGTTGTTTTCGCGCGTTTGCAGTTGTGTTGTTCGTCAGGCATGGCAGAGGAAGAAGATGACATGCCAGTAGACACCTTCGAACCATTGGAAGAAGCCCTGGAGCCGTTTTTGGTTGCACTGAACAATCGCTGCATTGGACCTGGCGACTATGCAGCAGAGCTTGCCATCAACTACACACTCAATCGGCAACAGATTTTGGCAGTGGCGCCCATTGCTTGGGTCATGGAGCAAATGTGGCTGAATCGCTCCAACCTGGACTCCATGATGGCCGATGGAGCTGCCACCGAAAGCTGCAACTGTTTGTGGTTGGGCGCTGGCGGCTCTGGCAAGACGTACGCCTATGCCAAGGTGCTGCGGCCAATGTTCCGCCGATACTTCGGCGATGCTGGTTACATTGTGGGAGCCCCAACACACGCCGCGGTTCGCCTGCTTGGGCCAGAAGCCAAGACCTTGCACAAATGGGCGAATGTGAGCCCGAACAGTGGCCTCAATCGACGCTCACTGCGTTCAGCCAAGAGCAAGGGCGACCCGATTGAGAAGAAGATCATCGAGGTCATGGCTGTGCTCTTGGACGAACTTTCAATGAACCCGCCCGATGTGTACCATGCGGCAGGATTTCGGTTTTCTTTGTTACGGCAGGAACGGATGATGTTGGACATGGGATGCTACTTGGATCAGTGGTTCGGCAAGGTGCCCATTGGCGTGCAGCTGGGCGATTTTTTGCAGCTGCGCCCAACCGCACACCACTCCCTGTCTAATTGGCACGCCGCCCAACGTGCCACTGACAGCATGGCTGCAGCTGCCAGCGAGGACGAAGACCTTGGAGAGGACGAAGCAGCGCAGCAGACCAGCAATGCAGCTGAGCTTGGCCGGATGCTGTTCAAGAATTCCTTGCAGCGAGTGGTGCACTTCACAGGGTCGGGGAGGTTTTCCACTTGCTCATCTGGGCAACAGCTTGTGGAAATTTTGTTGGCAATGCGAGAAGGCAAGAAGATGTCGGATGCTTTGTGGGCAGCGTTGGAAGCAAGATCCTATAGCACAGCGCAGCTGCAGGCCGACGAACTGCGGGGACGTTTGTTGGATGCCCACTGGGGCGGTCTTGCTTGGGAGCAAGTGGCTCGTCTACAGCATGTTCGCGTTGGTTTGGAGGCAAAGGAAAGGAAGAAAACTCTTTACCTCGTGCAAGCCATCGATCGAGCTACAGGTCCCAATGATCTCACAAGGGAACAAAGCATCAGCGCACTGCAGATTGTGAACATGACCAAAACGCACTATCTTATGGGGATTTGTCCGCTGTACGAAGGCATGGCTGCGCGCATCAGTTGCATTTTGGATGTTCCACTTTTGAGCCGGGAGCTCCCAGTTATTGTCCGGTCTGTCAAGCTACATCCCAAAGAGCCAGCAATTGAGGATGACTGTGGCTGTGTTGTTTTGAAGTATCAGCCAGTGGCAGTTTTGGTTGAGATTGATGATCCCAATTACAAGAACATTCAGCTGCCTGGCGACTTGGCACCGCGGGGCCATATGTTGCTTCGTGCAGTTGCTTCGGACAAAGCCTGGAATTTACAAGTGGGTCCGAAGCAACACGTTCCGGTGATTCGCAAGCAAATTCCCTTGGCTCCTCGATGTGTTTTGACGCACTATGGCTTGCAGGGCATCACTGCGAAGAACGGACTTGTTGCTTTCTTGTCGAAGCCATCTTGGATGAAGGATCCCGACTATGCTCTGGCGATTTATGTCATGTTGTCGAGGCCAAGAAAGTTGGATGATCTGTGGATTATCGATTTGCCTCCGCGGCACATGTTCGAGCAGTTTCTCCACGAGCACAATCCTGCACTGGTGCAAAGGATGAAAGAGTTCGAGCAGCAAGCGAAGGTGGACGAGATCAATGCATTGGCTTATTTGTCCAAATTGCAATGGCAACATAGGGAACAAATTCGCCAAATGCTTGCGCAGGATGACCTGCGAGAAATGACCTGCTGATCTCAGGACGACCTCGGAGCTCAGGACGTGAATTACGAGCACCGTCAGATGTCTGAGAACGCGCCGTATGAGGAAACCAGAGTGCAGAAAGGAAGAAGATCACATCGAAACACCATATAGCAAATGCTTGTTTTTGCTACTTGTATTGCAGCCAAAGCTGACTTTGCAATACTTCTGTAGCCTGTGACATAGTGAATGCGTTTTTTTTGCAATGCTATTTGATTTCAAACCTTGCTACTTGTATTGCGATGGCAGTGGATTTCATCGTGGATCACCACAGAGAGGATAAAAATGTCTCCCGCAAGTTCAGCAGCGGCGTAAATTTGCAACGGGAACGTACAGCTGGCATTGCAACCGGAACTGTCTGAGCAATACCACTGTAGCCTCCCGTTGCGTCGCTAAGCTGTAGTGCTTCAATTTGCAACGGAGGACACACAGTTGGCATTGCAACCAGAACTGTCTGAGCGATGCCACTGTAGCCTCCTGTTGTCGAAATGCCATTTAATCAAACGTGCAGCTTGTAATCTACTGATTGCAATCTTCTGCAAACAGAAATTTCTCAGAATGCAACAGAAGCGTAGAAAAAGGATTGCAATTGGTAGCGTCTGTTGGTTTATTCCTGTCAGAAACGGTGCAACTAGTTTACTCTGACATTATCAGACTTGAGTCTTTGAACTGTAGGTTGACGGAGAAGATTTGAAATCAATGTTTGCTTCCCTATGCATGATTCTATATCTTCATATCCATATTCAGTTGGTTCAATATGTTCCGCGTCAGTTTCGTTTGAAGCCAGGTTGTGCCATGGAACTGCACTTTCACAGCATCAGAAGTGAGTTGAGATATGCCATGTGCATGTAGCCGCCGTGAAAATCAACATGTCCTATGTGATTGTCGTTTGATGCCAGGTTGGGCAATGAAACCGCAAGATCCAGCCGTGGAGGCTGGAAGTTTGATGCGCAAAGCACTTATATTGACAAAACATCTGAACGCTTCAGTGGATGCTAGCTTGTCGCGGAATGGAACAACATTGTTTGTACTGATCTCATTGTAGAAACGCCTGCCAAAGTGAAAGCGGGCAAGTGGAACAATGCCTGACAGCTGGCTTTGTAAGCGGTTGTTCTGAAGTGACTATAATTTGCTTTGACAATTTCAAACGCTGGTATTTGCATGTGAATGGCAACAGTCAGAGGTGTAGACTCTGTTTCAAATAGTCCATGTGTGGCAAATTCTAACTTCACTAGCTCCACTGGGTCTTTGGTTGTATGTGCACTTAGCCGTTGTTCATTGGATGCCAGGTTCTGGAATGGAACAACATCATTGCATTCTGTGAAGGACCGAACCGTTGATTGGCTAGGAACTTGAGGTTGTCTTTTTAGCAAGTTGGACACAAGCATGTCTGCAGCAAGTTCTGAACATCTTCAGTTTGGCTCCAACATCTTTTGCTTTTGTTGTTGCTGCCCCGGGACGCATGGCGGGCACTACTTTGCGCACCTACGTTGGTCTCTCAGCTGCGGCGGCAGATCGGTTGTTCCAGCAACGTCTTCCTGTCCAGCCGAAATACAAGCAGCGCTGGGGTTTGAAGCCAACAGTGGAAGAGGCTGTTTAGGAATATGTTTTGAAGTTGACAGAAATATGTTTGTTTGACCCTGCAAACATTTGAGCGACTTGTTAGTCAAATACCATCGCTATTTCTGCACATGTGCTTATTTTGTCATCTAATATCATCTTCTATCATCTTCACAGTCTCTCAGCTTTGCATCTTGACATCCTGACATCTTCACACCCTCACATCTTCCATCTTCACATCTGCTCAAATGCACATTTGATCAGCTTCACATCTTCACCTCCTCACAGCTTCACATCCTCATCTCTTCATCTCATTTATGCACATCTGCTCATCTTCGCATCAGCCTGTCTTCGCATCTTCTCTCTTTCCTTTTTACTGTCCTGCCCTTTTGCTCTCTTGCCGTGTTGGTCCAGGCAATTCGGCGTTGCGTGGAGTCAGAGGGGCAGGCTGTGGATGTGGAATCCGTGCGGGCCCACATGGTGACTTTCACCACGGATGGCGTTGCATATTACACAGCATCTTGTTACACTAAGTGTTCACCACGGTGACTTTCACCACAGAAGGCATTACTTTCTTTTGTAAAATCTATAACATGATATATATTTATATTATATATGAATATTCTAGATATATAAATATAAATATATATATATAAACATAAAATATCTATATGTTATATATATATATAGTATTTGTGCGTGGCATTACTTGAGGTCAACGGCAATTTGGAAGGACTTGGCGATGGCTGGTTTCGCTTCTACGAGAACTTAGAGGCGGAGAAGTTTGCGTCGGACGGGACGTTGCTGTATGTTGTCAGCCGTGATGGCGCTGCCATGACAACTTAGTGAGCGGACACTGGGAGGAAGATTCAACCGGAACTGTCCGAGAATCATCCAAACCAGATTTTTGTGAGCGAGTTCTGGGAAGGGGGATTCAACCGCAACTGTCCGAGAATCATCCAAACCAGATTGTTTTCCTTTTGAATGATAGTCTCACACCAAAGAGTGTAGACAATACTTAGAAAGAAAAGAGAAGGCTGGTTTGGACAGGCCCGAGAGCTATGGTTTTTCTAGCCTGTGTCAAGCTTGGGCAGTTGAAGCTATCAGTTTCACAATTGTAAGTTCTGAAGCTTTTGTGGTTCTAGCCTTCACGTCGACAACATTGCTGCAAGGAAGTAGCATGGCGGGCACCACGCTGACAGTGTATGTTGGCCTGACACCCTCTGATGCCGAGAAAATCTTTAAGGAGCATCAGGCAGTGCAGCCACACTGGAAAGATCGATGGGGTCTGAAAAGTACTGCTTTAGAGGCCCGGACACGGGTCGTCTTTCGTTGCCACATTTTGAGCTGGAATGTCAATTCTTTGTTTGCATTTCAAACGCATCCATTTGAGCCACAAATGCAGGCCATCCAGCGCTGCCACGACACGGATCTTAAAGGAGGGCACATCAAGGAGATCGGAGCGCACAAGGTTACATTTACTACGCATGGCATCACCCATTTGGTTGTATTTTGACGGCAAAGAGAAATCTTTTCGAAATAAATGCATCCATGGCATGTTCGGTAACTGTTTGTTTGCGTGTCTTCAGGTGCTGGAGAAGCTGAGAGCCATCGGCGAGGGATGGTATCAGTACTTTGGTCCCTTGGAAGCTGAGGGGCGGGCGTCGGATGGGACGCTTTTGTACACGATTGATGCTGAATGTCAGGGCATCATTTAAAGGTTCAACAACAACAAAAACAACAACAACAACAACAACAACAACAACAACAAGAACAACAACAACAACAACAACAAGAACAAGAACAACAAGGACAAGAACAACAACAACAACAACAACAACACCAGCAAGAGTTCGTTCAGAGACAAAGTTGCCTATTGTCAGGTGTTTGCAAGCAGATACCTTTTTTTTAAGAAGTTGCAATTTTGCAACCAGAACTGTCTGAGCAAGATTGCAGTCGCTTGTCTGGCAGACAAAATTGGTGCAAATAGGTTCACATATCTTTATTTCTTTATTGTTGGTGCTACGGAACTGTTGGACATCTCAAGCGACATCTCAAGCTGTCGGTTGTCTGGAAAAAGGCGCGCTCCGATAAGTTTGCCTTGCGTAAGTGTTTGTGCCATCATGAGCAGCAGTTCTCATATGGCGATGAGTCTTTTCCAGCCACTTCCCACTGCTGCTCAATTGGAAAGTGATAGACATCATATTTGAACTCAACATTCGCTTACATGTTGCCATATGTTGTCACATTGTGGCTGCCCTAACCGGAACTGTCCGAAGGGTGGTGCATGCTTTCAAATTAGCACAGGTTTTCAGACATTGCTCATGTTGCCATATGTTGTCACATTGTAGCTGCCCTAACCGGAACTGTCCGAAGGGTGGTGCTTGCTTTCAAATTAGCACAGGTTTTCAGACATTGCTGCTTCCTTAACCGAAACTGATTGAAAGTTGCTTACTTGAAATTCGTCTGTGGCCTTGGCCATGTGGAGTGCTGCTACCGCTGAGATCAGTTGGTTACTTGAAGTTTTGCAGCTGGAGAAATCTAGTTGGTATGCTGTTACGTTTGAAGACTTTCAAATCTTGAAGATCCGGCGGAAGGAGTTGTTGCGCAAAAATCACCCTGACAAATGTGTGGATGATGACAAGAAGGAAGCGTGCAATGCATTCAATCAGCGCTTCAACAATGCGTGGGACGAATTGGTGAGAAAGCTGCCACCAGACTGGAATGCAGGAACGGGCAATGGTGCTGAGCACCAGACAGGTGCAGGAACTTCATCTCAACAACAGCCACAAGCAGACAACGGTGCACCAGCATGTTCCTTGGCGCCTCATATTGACGATTTCGAGGCGAAACATGGAAGTCTTGACAGTCGAAAAAAAATGGAGTACATGTTTCTGTATGCTGCTCAAGCTCATTGCCTGACTTGCATGGAATTTTATAGTTCGATTGAAGGATTTAATGTGAAATGTGTGTCCTGCGGAAAAACGGCCCGTCAATGGGCCACGACGAGCAGGAACAGACGCCGGAGACAGGCTGTTGATATACCATTGGATGTTGAAGCTTGGCTTCAAGAACACGATTTGTAGTGTGCTGGTTGTTCTAGTATGATGTTGCCGTGTGAGTTACAACACATGCTCTCACCTGAAAGGTGATGTAGCAGTTTCGGAGTGCTTTGATGGTACAGGGATCGAGTGGCAGAAAGGGAGAAAATCGATGAATGCAGTTGCATCACCTTCATGGTGTCTACATTGTTTGGTCGTCAAAAAAAAGTTGATGGAGCATTTTGCATTTATTGTGGTCACGAAGCCCACATGGTTGCTTGAAGTTGTGCAGTTTAGGAGGAGAAAGCATGGCAATCTCACGCGCTGCGCTCAGAAACCTGTTTACAATGCAGTGGCAGTTTTTCAGAGCGGTACATTGAATGAGATAAAAAC